CCAAGGCTGAGGGCCCAGGTTCCAGTCTCACCTCCACCCCTGAGAACTGTATGACATGGCAACCAGCTTGACCTTCCTCACTGGGACAGTGATAATGAGGGCCACTGTCTCCACCTCCAGCCATGGTTAGGATTGAATCAGATGCCATCAATAAAGCACAGCGTCAGCCTGGCACATGGCACCTGTGCCATAAAAGCTAGTTGTTATTGATTGGTGTAAAGATGGTAACTACTAAATAGAGCATTGAAGGCTCACTCCAGAGCCAGATGGCTGGGTTCAAATCCCAGCTCCGCCACTTACCAGCTCAGTGACCTGGGTGACTAAGGACCCTCTCAGCCTCCTCTAAGCCTGAGACCGGAAGAACTAGATGGTGCCCGGCTACCACTACTGACTGCTCTGACCAGGACCACAACAGAAGGTCCCAGTTAGAATAGGAGAAAAATGTAGAACAAAATTCAAAGTTTAAAAGAAGAAAGGAGATCAGACTGACTGGTCTACAAGGGACTAGAGGAACCCCAAGAGACCGCCTGAGACAACCTGCTAACCTGGAACCAAAGACACTCCAGAGGCCGCCACCCAGCCAAATCATCACCAGGACTACAAACATGCAACATGAAAATGGGCTCCTGGTAACCATCAACTCTACAGACCGACAGGGCACCATCCGCCCAGAGCCAAAGACGGGAAGGCAGGGAGGGGCAGGGGAACCAGACAAACGGAAGCAGGGAACCCAGAGAGGAAGCAGGGAGAGCGCAGACACATTGTGGGGGCTCCAGCCAGCATCACGGAACAACCTGTGTGTGAACTGTTGACCGGGAAACTGATTTGCTAGGCACACTTTCACCCAGAGCAAAATGAAGGTTGAAAAAAACAACAACAGTGGGTCAAGAAGAGTCCGTGCCACAGTGGATCACTGTGAGGATTAAGTGAGGACCTCGGGTTCCCATGTGTCTCTCTCAACGAGGGGAATTCGCTCCCAGGCCAGAAGCTTGCCTGATGGGATGGCCAAACTGTTTTGTGTTGCCTTCACACCTCTTCTGGCCTTCCTCACTGACCGAAAGCACCTGCAAGGCAGAGACGGTGTGGGAGGTGTTCGCACGGTGGCGCCCCCTGCAGGCAGCTCTCCTGCAGGCCCAGCCCAGCCACCACGGCTTCCGAGATGGCCCCACTCACTTGCTGCAACAGCGCCTCCTCCCCCACCGCCTTCATGAGGCCTTTGGTGTCCATTTGGCCCAGGCGCAGGATGTACAAGGGGCGGCCATCTGTGGAGTGCGGAGGCAAGCAGAGAGAAGGACTTAGGCGATGCTGATGAGGGGGGCAGGGAGCCCTGGTGATGCAGTGGTTGAGGTGCTAACCAAAGGGTCAGTGCTTGGAACCCACCAGCCGCTCCATGGAAGAAGGATGAGGCAGTCTGCTTCTGTAAAGACGGACCGCCTTGGAAACCCAATGGGGAATCGACCCAATGGCACTGGCTTTGCTTTTTTTGTTGTTGTTGATGATGGGGCAGGAAGGCCCTGGGTGGTGTGAACAGCTAACACTTGCCTGCTAAGGAAAAGGTTGGAGGTTCAAGTCCAACCAGAGCTCTCTCGGAAGCTAGGCCTGGTGATCTGTTTCCAGAAACTCAGCCACTGGCCTGGCAGAACCACTGAGACTATGGCCCCTAGCTGCCCTTCAGGTCTGGAATTGGACCCGCGCCTGTGGCTTCCAGCCAAACAAAAGACAGGCATAAGAGATGAACATTTACCTGAGGTAGATACACTCCTTGAAGAGAACAAGCATGGGAGAAAGAAGGGCTGCTTAGGCACAGGGAGACAGCTCAGGGGGCAGGAGTGCATGGAGGGATGGACACAGGGAAGAGGTAACTATCGGGAGGAAGTACGAGGGGGGATGTTGCATTGTGGGAAATTGTAGTCAACAGCATGAGACATTAACTGCTGTATGGAAAGTGAATTTCCTCTGTAAATTTTCACCCAAATCACAATTAAAAAAAAAAAAAAAAACTCAGCCACTGATAGCCCTGTGGACCCCAAAACTATTGCCTGGGGAATGATTTTTAAGCCTTAAACCAAACCGACAGCCTGCATTCTTCTTAAAACCAAGCCATTGTTGACCTTAACTAGTGAGGAATGTCTGCCTTGAGCACTGGGCTCTTTAAAGACCTCCCTATATGGGGCCGACTAGATAGCACACAACAACAACAACAACAACATATGGGATCAAACTGACAACAGCAGCTCCAAAGATCAGATAGGAAAGTTTGGGGGCAGTGAGTTGATGTCAGTGGGGGAGAAACAACTGAGAAAAGGAGGGTGAGAATGGTTGCCCAACTTGGAGAATGGAAGAAATGTCACTGAATTGGACGCGGAGGAAGTGTTGAATCGGTGTCTGTTTTGCTGCATATAATTCTCAACAACAACAAAATGAATGATTTTTTTAAACATCTGATGGAGCAGAGTTCTCCTGCATTAGGGGGTCACCGGGGTCAGAGTCAACCCGATGGGAAACGGTTTTATGTGGAGAACAGACCTTGCAAGACGGAGAATGTGTCAGTAAGGGCTTAGAGGTGGGCTGGCCCAGGTGACAGACCCAAGGAGAACGGGTGAATTTCTTCATGTCAGAAAGGGAATGGCTGGCATCCTGGACACCGCCCCTGTGCCCCTCTCCTCCTGGGTGTCAGCTGGGGAGATGGCCTGGCCTTCTATTAACTGCCTACAGGATGTGCAAATGGTAATGTGCTCGGCCACTGAGTGAAATATCAGAAGGTTGAGTTCAACCAAAGTTGGAGAAGTACTTCAGGAAAATCAGACCCTGGAAACCCTGTGGAGCCCAGTTCTACCCAACACAACACGGGGTGACCCACGAGTCAGGGGTGACTCAATGGCGACAGGCTTGGCTTCTCTGGTACGGGTGCGAGGGTCAGGTCATAGCTGTGGATGAGAAGGTGAGCTGCTCAGAGACTCAGGTGCCCTGGCTGTGGCTTGGCAAAGCCCAATCCATTCATTCATTCACCAATGTTGTTGTTATTGGGTGCCATGGGTTCCACTGTAATTCACAACCTTATAGCACAGAGGTGCAAACCCCAGGGTTTTCTGGGCTGTAACCTCTACGGGGGCAGCTCTCTCCCACGGTGCGGCTGGTGGGTTCGAAACACCTACCTTTCGGTTAGCAGTCAAGTGATTAATCGTTGTGCCACTAGGGTTCCTCCATTCATGACTACCTGCCTGCTTCCACAAGGGTCTCAGACCACTACCGTGAAAGACAGAAACAACCAAAGTGTGGGAATAAAGATAGGGAGACGGGGTGAGGTACATGTGGGGACTATCTGCTAACCAGGCCACTTTTCCATGAACCTAGGAGGGCCTCACTAAGCAAAGGGTGGGGAGAGCTCTGGTAGCTTATTGCCTAAGGCACTTGACTGCTAACCAGAAGGCTGGCGGTTCAACCCCACCAGCCACTCCTCAGAAGGAAGGTTGGCCAATCTACTAGTGATACTGCCTCGGAAACCCAAGGAGGGGTCGCTATGAGTCGGGTCCAACTCAACGGCATGTAACAATAGCAACAACAAAGCTATTCTGGAGTCCGGGGCGGAGCCAGCAATTGTCGCCCTTGGCAGTGACCCGAGTGCGGTACACATCGTGTAGGTAGAAGGACACACCTATGTCCTGGAAGTGCCAGCCCCCGGCATAGAACTCCTCCAGCAGGGCGGGGGGCCGCCAGGTCTGAAGGAGTGAGTCCACGTGGTGCTGCCTGCGCCAGCTCAGCGACTGGCGTAGCATGTCCCGGGCCTTGTCCACGTGGAAGTCCCGAGCCCGCAGGAAGCGCAGGATGTGCTCGTCTCTGGGAATCTGAGAGAAGACGGAGGGGACAGCCCACAAGACTTTATTCCTTAATCCGGTAGTGATGACACAGAAAATGAGCCTCCTGTCTCAGCTGCCAAGTGCTGTGTTGGGGGTGGAGCCCTATCTTCTTCCCCCAGCATAGGCCAAGAGGCAATCAAGGGCTGGACTGAGTGAAATATGACAGGAAGCCCGCCTCCCCGGGCTGCCACCACAGACAGGGATCCAGCCCAAAGGTCAGTAGCACCAAGGCCGAGAAGGCAAAATAGCAAGGCAGGTACACCTTCTCTTCACTTGTCACCCATCTCATTCTCTGACGTTTCACGTTTACAATAATGAAAAACAACGCTCTGACTATTATGTGCATTGATGATATACGTCCAATGGTAATGAACACCGATGTGCGAGGCAAGAGTAAGGCTGGCTGTGACGGTTACGGTTAGGTGTAAACTTGGTTGGGTTTGGCAGTTAGGTAATGATGCCATCATCCAATTTGTGATCTGATGTGATCATCCTCCATTTTTACATAATGCCAATTTCCCCATCATGACCTGGTCTTTGGAATCAAACCATGTTGATAAGTGAGGACTGGGCGTATTACGGACACGTAACCCACTGTTGTCAAGTTGATTCCAACTCATAGCGATCCTAGAGGACAGAGTAGGACTGCCCCGTGGGATTGCCAAGGCTGTCAGATTTTTTGGAGGCAGACCGCTTTCTCCAGCAAAGCTACTGGTGAGTTCAGACTGCTGAACTCTCGGCTAGCAGCTGACTGCTAACTATATTGCCACCAGGGATCCTTTATGGACGTATGAAAAGCAAAACAGTTGCCATGGAGTTGGCATGTGCACAGAGTGGAACTGCAGTCACAGGGTTTTCATGGCTGTCACTTTCAGAAACAGATTCCCAGGCTTTCTTCCTGGATGCCTCTGGGTGGACTGGAACCGCCAACCTTCTGGTTAGTAACTGACACTTCAATGTTTGCTCTGCACGAGGCAGTATATAATAAAAAGAAGGCACAATAGAGCTCTCCCGTGCTATGTCCATGAAGGTATTGAGCTCACCTCCCTCCCCGATGCCCGTGCCCCAGCACCCATAACTGAAGGTCCATGCCCCTCCGGGGGCCAGCCCTGCACCCACCTTGCCTTTGTGGGTCTCCTGTAGCCAGTGTCGTAGCTGGATCAGGCAGCTCTCCTGCACAGGCGTGAGCCGGCCCAGGCACCTCTCAATGTAGTCTGCATCCAGCTTGTCCCCTGGGAGCAAAAGAGGGGGTTCAAGAGAAGAAAGGATGACTCTTTCCATAGCCCTCGCCTTGCTGGCCATCCTGGCTCCAGAGCGTGGTTCCCAGCTACCGTGTCCTCTTCACCAGACAGCAGCAACCAGGGCCCCAACCGGCTTCCAAGGTGGTTCTGAAGACGCATGTTTTTGTCCAAGGAGCCTGGTGACCTCTCCCTGTGGCCAGAGTTCTCCTTGTTGACCCTCTGAAGTAAGACAAGAATTCCCACCCTCTGGAGCTCTTCTGAGGAGCTCTGGTGGTACAGTGGTTAAAGCATTCAGCTGCTAACCAAAAGGTCAGTAGTTGGAATCTACCAGCTGCTCCATGGGAGAACGATGTGGCAGTCTGCTTCCATAAAGACGAGAGCTTTGGAAACCCTGTGGGGCAGTTCCACTCTGTCCTCTGGGGGCGCTGTGGGTCAGAATGGACTCCAGGCAGTGGGTGTGGTTTGGGCTTTGCTTTCGTGAAGATTGACAGCCTTGGAGACCCTGTGGGCAGTTCCACTCTGTCCTCTAGGGGTGCTGTGGGTCAGAATGGATTCCATGGCAGTGGGTGTGGTTTGGGCTTTGCTTCTGTGAAGACTGACAGCCTGGGAGACCCTGTGGGCAGTTCCATCTGTCCTCTAGGGGCGCTGTGGGTCAGAATCAACACCATGGCAGTGGGTGTGGTTTGGGGAGCTGTTCTGGGGTTCTTTACCTACATGAGCTCACTCTTACTGAAGACCCGCATCAGCTCAGGGAATTCTCCCAGCAGTGAGAGGAGTGAGGTGGCTGTCTGTATTGTTCCCATTTTTGAGAAGCCGATTGAGGTGAAGTCAAGAGACCATATGCACGGAGCATGAGGAAGGCGGCTGGCTAATGTCAGCTCCCCTGGCTGTCTGGTCTACCTGGACCCCTTGCCAGATGTGAGACCCTGACTCTGAAATTCCACCTTCACGGCTCACCCCCCTTGCGCTGTCTCGTCCCACTCGACTGAGCTGTATGGGGTCAACACACACTGTCGGCGAGTCGGACACGACTCACAGTGACCCCTCCTTGGGTTTCCGAGGCAGTATCAGTACAGAAGTAGATTGCTCAATCTTCCTTCCGAGGAGCGGCTAGTGGGTTTGAACCACTAGCCTTCTGGTTAGCAGTCAAGTGCCTTAGGTAAAGGCCATCCTCCTCTCGACCCAAGTCCCAATGCTGAATTCCCCCTTAAATTTTGTTGTACTGAAATTTATGCAACATAAAATGCGCCATTTTAGCCATTTTTCAGTGTACAATCCAGTGGCATGAGTTACATCACCACCATCTATTTCTAAAACTTTTCATCCCCCCAAACAGAAACTCAGTACCCTTCAGGGAATAGCTGCACCTTCCCCTTCTACCCAGCTCCTGGTAACCACTCACGAACGCGGGTGTCTGTGCAGTCGCCTAATGGAGGGAGGTCAGGTGAGAGATCACAGTCCTCCTGTGTCTGACTCACTTCCCTCAGCATCACGTTCCCAAGGGTCATCCGTGTTGGAGCAAGTATCAGGACGCTGTTTCTCTTTCTGGCTGCGTAACATTCCATGGCATGGATGGGCCACATTTTGTTCATCCGTTCACCTGTTGATGGACACCTGTTTCCATCTTTTGCCTATTGTGAATAGTGCTGCTAAGGAAACAGGTCTGTGCGTATTGGAGTGTCCCTGTTTTCAGTTTTTGGGGTTTATACCTAGGAGTGGGATTCAACTCGACAGGTGAGTTTGGTTTTTTTTCTGGTAATTCTGTGTCTAGCTTTTTGAGGAAACAGCAAACCATCTTCCACAGGGGCTTCACCATTCTGCCTTCCCACCAACCACGTCCACTGCCCCTCTCTTAACTGGGTGGCAGATGCCAGTGCACTCCAGCCTCCGGGCATCTCAGCGTCTCAGCAGGGGGTGGGGACACTGGACAAAGAAGCCACCCACACAGGCACAACAGCTCTTTGTGTACAGATGGCGCAACAGGAAGACAAATTAAATGGCCACACTTCCAGCATCAGGACCCATGGCTCCCCCAAAACAGAGAAGCCCAGGGCTGAGGTCACCCCCAACTGCATCAGGAAGCATCTGGGTAACAGAGGCAGGGGAGGTGCTTGGGGGCAAAGGGGACCATCCAGACCCCACAACAGGGCACTGTGGCCAGAGGCAGAGACGCTGAAGACAGGGAGGGGATGGGCAGGGAGAAAACATGAGGCTACTGATCTCAACATCCTTCCGGCCCCAAGGCAGATGTGGAGGCCCTTTCTCCTTCTGAACACAAAGGCCCCGTGATTCCCAACAGGGTGGAAGGGGCATGGCCACCGCTTCTGCCAGCTTCCTGAGTGCCGCCCGCTGGGCTGATGGAGCAGCACTGAGTGGGGAGGGCAGGCTGGCACACAGTGGAGATAAAGGGATGACACCACCGAGTGTGTGTGCAGCAAGGAACAGAGGCCGTGCAAAGAAGCAACGTGCAGGTGTGCCAGCAGCCAGCCTGTGTAGACTTGGTGTGGAAAAAATACTCAAGGAATGGATGAGTATGGTCTCCCCCAAAACTCAGCCATGGGCACCCTACAGAGCACAGTTCTACTCTGACACATACCGGATGGCCGTGAGTCGGGCCAACTCAAGTTTGTTTGTTTGTTTTATAAAAAACACAGCCCCAGCCATATTAGTTACATGGTACTGTCATCCCAAACCAAACCAAACCCACTGCCGTGGAGTGGATGCCAACTCACAGCGCCCCTCTGCCCTCCAGGGTCTCCAAGGCTGCCCCACAGGGTTTCTGAAGCTGTCAGTCTTCACGGGAGCAAAGCCCAAACC